TGCAGGTATGAAATGGGCTATAGCAGCACTGATGAGTATTGCTATCAATGCTAGTGTGGCAATTAAATGACTGAATGAGCATTATGGTTAATCTTGTGCATGCCTTCAATTAAGTTTGAAGTAATGATAATGATTGGACAATTATACCTGCAGTGTAGGGTTGACATGTTGGTGTTTCAATGGTGATGCAACCCTACAGGGGCTTGTTTGAATTCACTTTATACTTTCAAACCAGCAACCCTACAGGGGCTTGTTTGAATTCATTTTATAGGTTCAAATCCAACAGAGGCTCAACCCTACACTAAATAATTTTTTAAATTTTTTTGTTCTAGTTTCCATCCTTTTTTAATGAACAACACTGCTTTTTTGAACATTAATTTTTAAGCAGTTAATTGTTTGGTACAATTTTGAAGAGTATTTCTTAATATTTAGGTAATCCTGAAAGTGCATCCAAGGCAGTTGAAAAGAAGCATCCTAAACTATTGAAAAGTAAGTAAAATAAACAATATTTGTTAAAAACAAAATTAGATCTATATTTAACAGAAATATAATTTGATGAGAGGAGTTTGAAATGTTGTATTCATTACAGGAGGCCTAAAAGAAGACAACAAGAAAGTTAAAAAATCAATTGTATTATTACGAACAAGTGTGACGCTGAAACATTTTTGCTACAATTAAGTTATAATCTGATTACAAGACATATTTAGAATAAAAATTTGACAGTAATGGAATGAAGGAACTTGACAGAAGTGGCATTCCATGTAATGAATGCAGGCTAGGTTAACTTAAGTTGAATAAGAAAAAGTTATCTTATATGTGTATGTGCATGAGTCTTCAAAACTAAATTTTGAAAATTTGAATGAAGCAGCATTGCTTGTAAATTCAAGTGTTATACATACATAATGTACAGGAAATAAAGAATTAAATTGAAGTATTGTAACTTACCTAGGTTTATTGATGGAGCTCCAGTGTGAGATAGAGAGGGACAGAGAGAAAGGGAGACACATGGGGTGGGAAGGAGGAACTGAGGGAGGGAGAGAGAGAGACTTATGAGTATGCTTGTATAAATCTGACAATGCATACA